TACATGATTTCAGAAAAGATTCAAAATTGGGTAGTGCGTCGGAGCTGGATGATTCGATCAGAACCTCGCCTAACCTGAATTTCGCTTTATGATGCTGTTCCATGTTCCTGATGATTTACAAGCCAGGAGTTTATGACGTTTGAACCCTCCATCATTCTGATGTAAGTTTTACTCATGGCACGTGGAATTTCATATCCCAAACCCCACACTCCAACGCCAGCTTGTTGTTCATGTAGAAAATCATGTATAATATCAAGGATAATAGCAAGAGCGAAACAGTATACTACAAGCCTGTGCTATTCACTACTTATGAAGGATTACTTACAGTGTGATTTATATGTTTAGTACAAAGCAGCCTCAGCACCAGCAGAAATTGAACTCAGCATTCGACCAATACTGTTGGTGAAAGTGTTCGCTTTTCTCAATGACAGTGTACATATTTCGCTTGGCATAAGAGCGCATGACATGCAAAATTTTGGCAGTTTCTCACGTTTGATACTGATCTTGTCCTTGGTCAACTTCCTCTCGCAGGTCAATCGTTCCTCAGCAAATAGCGAAGAATTTGTGAGTGATGAAGAGGTAGGCATACATATTTGTCGTTATGCTCATTACAACGTAACGTTTTAGGATCTGGTCATACGTCTGAATAAGATAAAGGCGAAGGTAACGTTTTATGGCCCAGACTCAAAAATGACGTTCAAGTTGTCGGATCTCAGCACCGATACATCGAAAGTGTCTTTAAACGCTGATCAACCATTCTACATCATTGTGCATGGTTTCGGATCTTTTCCGCGTTGGGTTCCAAAAGTTTGTGAGGCATTGTTTGAAAGAGTAAGTCTCTGAAGTTGGTAGAAGTAGTTTCTTGTAAATTTGATACTGATGAGGAACTAGTTTTGCAATAACAAGTCTTCCAGAGAGAAAGGCTTCCAGCACAATGGTCATATGCTCAGTGATGAAGCACAGAGTATTTCGTTCTTGCGTTGGTGATCATACTGAAACAGCATGAAACACAGCCTATGAGTGGATGAGTGGACTCTGACCCCCACGTACCAATCAATGCGAACGACAGAAGGACTTCTGAATTCGGTCAACCAGCCTCTTTTCCTTTTAAAAGGTCTGCCATATACGAGTCAAAGGTTCGGTGCTGGTCAATCATATGACTAAAAATACCGTTTGTGTTATATACAAATAAATAATGTTTTTATGCAGTTGTCAATGAAGGCATCTACAAGAATAGCATATTTTAGGCGACATTTAGAGCAACACCATGATGGCCATCATTAGAGCGCAAACGGTGATGGTAAAAATACGCCATTTTTGTTATGGCCTTTTCTGTGGTTTATGCCCACCCTATCAGAATATCTTTTTGCCACAGAATCTGTAGTAAGTAATTAATTTGACTGGTTCTGACAGCTTGAGATGTCCATTTTCCTTGACCACAAAATACGTTGCCACAAATGACGCTGTTATGATCTTTTGCTTCAGAGCAGTGTTAGTGAGGGTCGAGGTCTACAGTCTCATTTTAAAATGGAAGCGTATGTCAAGACATTCGTCCGGACGCTGATGCTGACTTGACTGACTTGACTTACACAGATGACATTGCTGCGGTGTGCCATACAGAGATAGGGTTTTCCACTTCAAGGCCTACATTCGCAATGCATCCGCGAAAGCTCTTAAGCCTATTGCTTCACGCCCACAACTCAAAAGATGTGAAGAATCCATCCAGTGTAACAGGTGTACAACTTCAACAGGAAGGCAAAATGGTAACGGAGGATCAGTGGAAGTATATTGATCCTGCCATCTTTGGCAGCGGTACTACCGCTAAAAGTTGAATCGGAGGATCGCCCAAACCTCAGGCACTTTTTGTTAGCCTGTAGAAAAATGGAGTTATTAGTCAATCGGCCGTCGAAAAGTTCCGCTTTGTAAGTTTTCAGCCGGAGTAACCTCTTTAAGGGATAATTCTTTTTGTCATAAACAAATGGTTTATTCATACATGGCGGAAACAGTTTGGTCAATAAGATGATTAACAAGGACTGATATTTCTGTTCGTGCCTCACCTCGGACAAATTGAGTCTGTTCTGTTTTCCGCAGCTGTTGCAATGTTTGAAGCCAAGAGGTGGGAACAGAAAGCAAGCAACCCTATGCACCATGCAGAAGGTCGTGAAGCACCAGCCGAAACGTCGGTATTGGTAAATTACCCGATTGATGAGATTGTTT